ACTATGTACTACAACTGCATTTAAATATTACAAATATCTCTTTTAACACAAGCAAATAAAAAAAAATCCAGCTCTCCCTATAATAACAAAACTTGTTCTGCTGGACGTCTCCTTGTACTGTTTGCCTCACAGTAAGTGCAAAAAGTCTCTCATGACCTAAACTTCAATTTCAGTCATATGACTCGTCACTTGCAAGATGACCAGTATCTCAAAAGAAATACTAAAATCAGACCCCCCAAAATCATGGTATACAGTTTGAATATACTGACATGCAATACAAATGAGCCACTACAGTATTAATGTAAGATATACAAAGACAACTGGCCTCATCTGACCATGCTTTTAACAGTGAGTGACAAGACAGCTGAGGAATCAGGTCATGCTCCCAAAAAAGCTATGAGGAATCTATTCAGGGCATCAGGAGGTACATAATAACTTTTTAAAACCACATTATCATACAGTAATACAAGCCATACTCCAACTAAAGACAAATACTGTCAGAACCACTTACTGATCCTACAGCCTGTAGAATCCTAGGAATTGAACATACTCCATATCACTGCTCAAAAGCAGCAGAAAGTAATGTTTTTCTGGAATTTATCCTAGCTACAAAAGGGGTGACAAGTCCTGCACTGTGTGTAAGAACTTACTAGTTTTGGGAATCTGTGAAATTGTGAAACTGGTGTTTTAATTCACTTTTAGGACCTTGAATGCTTCTGAGACTTTGGGAAAGTGCTGAACCAAAAGGGTGTTTGTGAAAATACATGCTCCTTCTAAAGCCAGACTAAAAACAGTCTAACCTAATGGGAGCAAAAACATAACACAATAATCTTTTAAATTTGAATTTAAAAGGCTATTCCAAACTAGTCCAAATTCATAGTCTTTTCCAAAGTACCTTTGATACCTTTGGATCACTTCATTACTTGGAAACAGTTTGTGTCTACAATATTTTTCATGACTTTATGACCACTAGCTTGAATTGAGTGATTTATAAAGATGGAATCTGTTATACTTCTAACAGTATAATGTAACGTTAACTGCTAACCATTGAGGTTAATAATATAATAATACTAATAGTAATAACTATATCTAGGTTACGATTAATACGCAAAACAAACATGAACGTTACTTATACGAACTGATATAATCCAACATCGTATTAAGGCCTTAATAAAAAATAAAAAAAAATACTGTGCGCAACTCGTGAGCCAGGCAAGTTAACTCGTGAAAAAGTTATTCAGCAATAGCTATGTACATTATCTACTTTATAGCTATGTAAATTATCTAGTTAGCTGCTTGGCTCAAACATTAAGAGCTAACCGATTATTGTAGCATTAGCTAAAGTTGGCCAGCTTCCACGAGAAAACAAAGCACATGCGACCTAATTATAAACAAGTTAGCCATCACGCAGGCCTAAAATCAGTATAATCGTTAACACGCTTATTAGATCGATGCTTGAATAAGTGTAGTCATTCACTTATGAAAGTGGCTAAGATAGGTACAGCTATCGCCTGTGAGACTCCGTCACGTTTTGTATTTGATAACTCATCAGCTAACGTTAGCTCACACCGACAGGGCCTTAGCTGCACCATGCTAACTCGGGCTAGCATACGTAGCTAGCTACTTAGCAAAAACGGTGACTCTTTACGGTTTTGTGCTCTATTGTTTCAGTCGCGCGGGTGTAACGTTACTCACAAGCAGCAAATAAAGAAAAAACGTAAATAAAAATAATAACTATCCAGCGAGCACTGACGGACTGTTCACTCTGGTCCTTTGGTTTTGTACTGAGGAAAGACTGAATTTCATGAGCCATGTTCTTTGCCTAGTGGCCACTGAATCCTTCGATGATGAAAAGCGCTTCGAGCAGTGACTGGTTTTCTGAACTCTGGCGAGATTTCGGACCGTATCCCTGATTTTCGGCTAAATGAACTTCCAGGCTGCGGTCTGTAGGTTAACGATTCAAGATGGCGTTCGTTCGTTACCTCTGTACTTGTTTCCCAGAAAAGTCGACTTTAATCCCCTTGAAAGAAAAAAAAAGCAAAAGAGTACCCATGCTTTTTTGTGTTTAAAAAAGCAAAGGATAAATAAATAGTTGGATAGAAATATGATATTACTCGACCTTTCGTCAGTGAGAAGGCTGTTGTGTTCGTGGTTGGCTGTTGGGGAGTTTGGATGGACAGTCATGCTTTCCACAGCCATTTCCTCTAACGTACTACATTCAGTGCAAAAAATCGACTCAGGATTCAACTGGCTTATGCGTTACTTCACATTGATCTACTGGTTGATTGGTTTAAGGAAGAGTTTCAGTTCATAGCAGTTAATTCCCATGAACAGTTTAAAAGAGAAACATGCTGAAACGTTCCTGAAGTTCTCTCCGTCCTTACAGTTGCGTGGTGAAATGAAACTCATTCACTTAAAATGGCGACGCTTCTTCTCCGCCGAGAAGAGGCGGAGTTAACCGAGTGACGTTGCCACGGTAATTGCCGAAAATCCACGAACTGAAGGCGGCGAGGGCGGAGTCTTCAAGTGGAGGTTTACTGTGTAAAAGGGTACAAAACGGTTACAGACACACAGGTTATTCATTACGTTAGTTACTTCTGAGATGAACAGCACCGATAAGTGAATAATACAATGACAAAAGTTTGACGTTGTTCTCACATTTTGACATTAAATATAATTTAATATAAACTTTGCATAGACCTGTCCTGATAATACGGGTCCTTCAAGGCTAAAAATGGAGATTACTACGCTCTAAAGAAAGATGGTTCTTCCAGGGTTCTATTTAGAGCCATGCTTGCTCTTTAGAACCGTTCCATGCTCAAATGGTTCTTTGCATGGTGAAATTTTTCTTCACAGAGAATGTGTTGCATATGGTTCTATATAGAGCTTTTTGAAAATGGTTTTATATGGCTATGCTAAATATGCAATAAAAATTTTCAAAAAACCACATTCTCCAATCTGAAGAACCATTTCACCATGCAAAGAACCATTTAAGCCAAATAGAACTCATGATTGCAACTAGAACCTTTCCCTTTACTAAAGAGCCCTTGTGGAACCATCATTTTAAGAGTGTAGGATATTTCTAGCAAACTGGGTAAGAGAAGTCAAAATGAAAGACTCAAATACAGAGGCTTGTCTGCGTTACATGAGTTTACCAGTAAATGAAAGTTGTTGAAGTGTTGGATACTCACGCACAAATAATTAGAAACTGAATAAGAGATCTATGAAATTACACATTTAGAATATATTTAAATTGGATTATGTCAAAAAATGAGTTTGCCTGTTCTCCCATGTCTGCTTGGGTTTTCTATGGGAACTCCGGTTTCCTCCCACAGTCCAAAGACATGAAGTCAGGTGAACTGGAGAAGCTAAATTGCCCCTAGGTGTGAGTGTGTGTGTGATTGTATATCTCTGTGTCAGTACAACATTCATATATTTTATTACATTTATTTTTCTAACACAAACTGAGCATGACACAGTACATTTACTAAGTTTCTTGGATTTTGTTTCTTTTCATGTATTCTAAATATCTAAAGATGTCAATGTGTAGACAGATGGTGTTGCTTTCCTATGCCTTACTTTATGTATACAACAAAGTAAATGTAAAATAACATTTACAACTTTTTCAGAATTCTTGTATTGGATGATAATCTCTATATGTGATATTAGACTACTTAAAATCACAAACACCAAAAAACTTAATTTAAGCAATAGTAAGTGAAAAACAAACTGTAGAGTATTTAAATAGAAATAAATTGCTCTACAAAAAACCCAAGTATCTGAAGTATCTATAAGTTTTTATTTTTCTTCAGCTCAGCAACTGCCCTTTACATTGTGTTCATCTCATGATGAATGGACCAATAGAAATGCTTCAAACATGCTTGAAATAAAAACTCTTTACATTGACTTACATTAAAAGTTAAGAACATTTTGTCCTCTCCTGTTAAGGTACCATTTTGGAGACTTTGTTTTTCTTTGTACAGCGACGACAAACATTCATAACATGCAATCTGTGTTAATCATTGAAAAGGAGGCAGTGAATGAATGTTTAGGCTGACAGCAGAAATGAGTTAGTGTAAAAGCAATGAGTAGTGTAAGTCTTTATGAAAAGAAGAGTGTGAAATAAAAATGGTGAAACATGAGACAGTTATCCACAAGCCAGTCAGAGGAAATGGCAAAAGCAAGTGAGGCAATTTATTATTAAAATGATAAATCTGTGAATTAGAGACCTATATACATACAGTGTATATTGATCAAGACATATTTTTTGTCAACGTCTGAGTGAAAAGCCGGTAAAGCCAGAAAAGCTCATTTTTGCAAATGAGCAGTTGGTCAATGACCTTACAGAGGACCTTACAGAGGATCATACAGAGAAAAAATCAATTCAGAATAATTGATCTTTTTTCAACTTCAATTATTGTTTGAATAGTGAAAGACATTGCAAGCCAGTTTAGCTTTTAATCCAAAGACGCTGGTTCAGTTTGACGTGACTCAAAAATTTTCAGTCCCTATCTGACACATTAGAGAAACTCCTTGATCCAGAGCCAGTTACAGCTGTGTTATAAGACCCTGTGTTGAGCTGTCAAATGATCAGTATTTGATCACATTCAGCTTGTTTATTCAAAGACAATATATTTGTATGTGCTTATTTAAATAAATAAATACATTAATAAAAATTCTTCTTTTTTGTATTAACCTATTTTTTAGACAAAAAAACAATACGAGTTGAAAAAGGAAACTAAATTAAAGTAAACAGTGTATAGGCCTACTAGTAAAAAATAAAAGTTTGCACACAACAGTTTAATTTTTACTAGTAGTGATTATATTTATATAGTTAAATTTCACGTTTTTTTTTTAGTATAAATAACATTTATTTGTTCAAACTGAAATGATGAAATGATGATATCATGACATTGAACACTGTAGATTTACAGCTACAACTGATTTTATGAAGAGGTTTTTTTTTCCACAGACGCTTTGCGTGTAACCGATACGTCATCAGTGTGCGCCCTTTTGAATGAGACTAAGCGGGACTTTTCCCATTGAATGGAGGAATATCGTCTCTGAAAGGAAGCGAGTTTATATCGAGCAGTTTCTGTTGTATTCCGGACCAGCGCGAAGTGATTTGAAATGATCGATATGATCGAAAAAGAAGACAACGTCATCAGCGAGGAGGAAGCGGCTCAGTATGACCGACAGATCCGGCTCTGGGGTCTGGAGGCACAAAAGAGGTCCGTGCTTAGCTCCGGTAGCTAACGAGCTAAAATAACACATAAACAAGAAATCGGCAAGCTAATAAACCTCTCCCTCGACGATTTGCAGATTGTAGTGGTCTTCGTACACGTTAAGAATTAACGCTTCAATAATTTACGTAACCAGATATTTTTCTAAAGCTTTTAACGGTAAAGGAGACTTCCACCGACTTTTCGAAATCTCTGCATAATTCAGCCATCAAGATGGAAATAAAAGTGGTTTGCTATGAAAGGGGCGAATTAATGCGTTGTAGAGCAACTTACTGACTCCGATTTCTTCACATTTGGGGTAATTGGAACCAGCAGTCCAGGAGTTTTATATGTAATGCTGATAACGTAAAATAATGGTACATCTGAAAAAAAAACAGTTTTCTTTGGGAACTGTTTTACCTTACTATGCCCTGTATGTACACTGCTCAAAAAAATAAAGGGAACACTTAAACAACACAATATAACTCCAAGTAAATCAAACTTCTGTGAAATCAAACTGTCCACTTAGGAAGCAACACTGATTGACAATCAATTTCACATGCTGTTGTGCAAATGGAATAGACAATGGAAATCATTGGCGATTAGCAAGACACACTCAATAAAGGAGTGGTTCTGCAGGTGGGGACTACAGACCACTTCTCAGTACCTATGCTTTCTGGCTGATGTTTTGGTCACTTTTGAATGTTGGTGGTGCTTTCACACTCGTGGTAGCATGAGACGGACTCTACGACCCACACAAGTGGCTCAGGTAGTGCGGCTCATCCAGGATGGCACATCAATGCGAGCTGTGGCAAGAAGGTTTGCTGTGTCTGTCAGCGTAGTGTCCAGAGCCTGTAGGCGCTACCAGGAGACAGGCCAGTACACCAGGAGACGTGGAGGAGGCCGTAGGAGGGCAACAACCCAGCAGCAGGACCGCTACCTCCGCCTTTGTGCAAGGAGGAACAGGAGGAGCACTGCCAGAGCCCTGCAAAATGATCTCCAGCAGGCCACAAATGTGCATGTGTCTACACAAACGGTTAGAAACCGACTCCATGAGGATGGTATGAGGGCCCAACGTCCACAGATGGGGGTTGTGCTCACAGCCCAACACCATGCAGGACGCTTGGCATTTGCCAGAGAACACCAGGATTGGCAAATTCGCCACTGGCGCCCTGTGCTCTTCACAGATGAAAGCAGATTCACACTGAGCACATGTGACAGACGTGGCAGAGTCTGGAGACGCCGTGGAGAGCGATCTGCTGCCTGCAACATCCTTCAGCATGACCGGTTTGGCAGTGGGTCAGTATTGGTGTGGGGTGGCATTTCTTTGGAGGGCCGCACAGCTCTCCATGTGCTCGCCAGAGGTAGCCTGACTGCCATTAGGTACCGAGATGAGATCCTCAGACCCCTTGTGAGACCATATGCTGGTGCGGTTGGCCCTGGGTTCCTCCTAATGCAGGACCATACTAGACCTCATGTGGCTGGAGTGTGTCAGCAGTTCCTGCAAGATGAAGGCATTGAAACTATGGACTGGCCCGCCCATTCCCCAGACCTGAATCCGATTGAGCACATCTGGGACATCATGTCTCGCTCCATCCACCAACGTCACATTGCACCACAGACTGTCCAGGAGTTGGCGGATGCTTTAGTCCAGGTCTGGGAGGAGATCCTTCAGGAGACCATCCGCCACCTCATCAGGAGCATGCCCAGGCGTTGTAGGGAGGTCATACAGGCACGTGGAGACCACACACAATACTGAGCCTCAATTTGACTTGTTTTAAGTACATTACATCAAAGTTGGATCAGCCTGTAGTGTGTGTTTCCACTTTAATTTTGTGTGTGACTCCAAATCCAGGCCTCCATTGGTTAATAAATTTGATTTCCATTGATGATTTTTGTGTGATTTTGTCAGCACATTCAACTTTGTACAGAACAAAGTATTCAATGAGAATATTTCATTCATTCAGATCTAGGATGTGTTATTTGAGTGTTCCCTTTATTTTGTGAGCAGTGTATATCTCTGTTATAAATGTATTTGTATAAGAATTTATCTCAAAAACGTTGTGAATATAGTGTACGATGAATATACTGCACGATGCGTGAGACATTCATCGTACAGTAGGTTATATTTATCGTACACTATATTCACAATCATTTTCTGTAAATAAAAAAGAGGTAAACTATATTGCCAAAAGTATTCACTCGCCCATCCAAATCATTGAATTCAGGTGTTCCAATAACTTCCATGGCCACAGGTGTATAAAACCAAACACCTAGGCATGCAGACTGCTTCTCCAAACATTTTTGAAAGAATGGGTCGCTCTCAGGAGCTCAGTGGATTCCAGCGTGGTACCGTGATAGGATGCCACCTATGCAACAAGTCTAGTTGTGAAATTTCCTCGTTACTAAATATTCCACAGTCAACTGTTGGAAATATTATAACAAAGTGGAAGCGAATTGGGAACGACAGCAACTCGGCCACGAAGTGATGGGCCACATAAAATGACAGAGTGGGGTCAGCGGATGCTGAGGCCCATAGTGCGCAGAGGTTGCCAACTTTCGGCAGAGTCAATCGCTACAGACCTCCAAACTTCAGGTGGCCTTCAGATTAGCTCAAGAACAGTGCTGAGAGCTTCATGGAATGGGTTTCCATGGCCGAGCAGCTTCATCCAAGCCTTACATCACCAAGCGCAATGCAAAGCATCAAATGCAGTCAGTACTTGTCTGACTGCATTGTGCCAAGTGTAAAGTTTGGTGGAGGGGGGATTTGGTGTGGAGTTGTTTTTCAGGAGTTGGGCTCGGCCCTTTAGTTCCAGTGAAACTCTTAATGCTTTAGCAGACCAAGAGATTTTGGACAATTTCATGCTCTCAACTTTGTGGGAACAGTTTGAGGACGGCCCCTTCCTGTTCCAACATGACTGCGCACCAGTGCACAAAGCAAGGTCCATAAAGACATGGATGACCGAGTTTGGTGTGGAAGAACTTGACTGGCCTGCACAGAGTCCTGACCTCAACCCGATAGAACACCTTTGGGATGAATTAGAGCGGAGACTGCGAGCCAGGCCTTCTCGTCCAACATCAGTGTCTGACCTCACAAATGCGTTTCTGGAAGAATGGTCAAAAACTCCCATAAACACACTCCTAAAGCTTGTGGAAAGCTTTCCAAGAAGAGTTGAAGCTGTTATAGCTGCAAAGGGTGGGCCGACATCATATTAAACCCTATGGATTAAGAATGGGATGTCACTCAAGTTCATATGCGTATGAAGGCAGACGAGCGAATACTTTTGGCAATATAGTATAGCTTTTAGAGGCAATAAATGCTTTTGACATCTGCAGCCTATCACTACTATTGTGAACATTTCTGGAATGAAGTTTCTCTAGAATGGCACAGAAAACCACTCTGAATGGCATTGTTTACATGTTAAAAATTGAATTATTCAATCATTTTGAAAAAAGTGTGTGAATTTCCTTTTTAAATAGGTTAACAGTCATAAGAAAGACTTTATGCTGCACATAGTTCAGGCGCTGACTCACTTGTGTTGTGTTTAAATTATAACATGATAAATGGTTCCATTATGATGTGACACGTGTGATTTTTAGTATAACTTATAAATGATCAAGTAGAGCTGGGCAATATGATGATATTTATTGTTATGATAAATTACACCACAGTAAGTCACAATATGCTTTTCTGAGCATATTGTGGATATTGGCAGTACTTAATCACTTGCCAACTGCATATTTGATCAAAAAGAGAGCATAATTAGTTCTGTTTAATTGGATTCAGTGCAGCACAGTGTGTGAAATATTGAAAATGCAAGTAATTGGATTCATAGTTTTGATGGTGTTTTTAAAATGTGGCACTTCTTTTTCTGTTACACTTATCAGATGTCATAAGTAAATAAATATTGTGTCACATTGTGTATTGTAAAAAAACTTAAATTAAATTGTGTTATTCTATTTTGCCATATCATCCAGCTTTACTTTAAAATACCGTCTGTCATTCTCAGACTGAGGGGGTCTCGAGTACTTCTGGTTGGACTGAGAGGTCTGGGTGCTGAAGTGGCAAAGAACCTTATCCTGGCTGGAGTGAAAGGGCTCACTCTTCTGGATCATGAACAGGTGGGATATTCTGTACTAAAGAACACTGTATGTCCAAAACTATCCAGACAGCCCTTCTAATTAGCGAAGTCACTTACTTCAAAGTGCATCCTTTGCTGACAGAGGTGTTCACACAGCATGTTTAATGTCGGTAGAAAAGCATTGTCAGTGGAATGGGCTGCTCTAGAGTAGCTGCACATAACCTTAAGGTCACCATGCTCAATACCAAGCATTAGCAAGAGGGGTATAAAGCCCCCTAGCGTTGGCCTGTGAAGCTTTAGAATGGCGTTCTCCGAAGTGATGGAGCTCCATACTTTTGGGATGAATTGTAGTGACGTTTATGATGCAGAACTAATCGTCCAACGTCAGTACCTGACCTCACCAATGCTCTTGTGGCTGAATACAATTAATGCTGTTATTCTTACAGCAATGTTTCAACATCTAGTGGAAAGTCTCAGAAGTGCAGAGGCTATATGAATAAACTGGCATGTGTGTATATATGTACGTATCAACTTTTGGTCATTTAGTGACTGAATATGATGTGGCAACCACAGCTATAATGTCTTTGTATACACCCAAGAAATGACCACAGTATCCTTGTTGTTCAATGTTTCAGGTTACCGAGGAATCCAGAAGAGCTCAGTTCCTGATCCCAGTGGATGCAGATGGTCAAAATCAGGCTCAGGCTTCTCTGGAACGAGCCCAGTTCCTCAACCCAATGGTGGAAGTGAAGGCTGATACTGATCAAGTAGAGAGCAAGTCTGATGACTTCTTTCTTCAGTTTGATGCGGTGAGTGCTGGATAGAGCTGCAGCTGTGTAGCTCATTGATTTATCACATCTTAAATCAAAGCCCACACAAAAAACTGCTGCATTGTTTAATCTTCAGTAAATTATTACTGTTAATGTCTACAGTGATAGTTTATCTCTGGTCTGGAGTGCTGGCTTCGTGCGCAGTTTGGTGATTTTCCTGCACATACACCCCTGATTCAATAAATTAATTGCCAGGTTTAGTTGCATTATTGCAGGACTAATATTCACCTGTGCTGGACTGCATTAAACAGCATTATAGAAAAGTATTATATATGAAAAATACTGTTTGTTGATCTGTATTCAGAGTCAGTATATAATGCTTGCTAGTTCTGTAAAGTCAGTGTCAAAGTTTTGTCTTTGCGAATCTTTGTGTTTTGTGGTATAGTTACACTTTGGCAAGAGGCTTATGCAGGAAGGTTGAGAATTTAAGGCTCCGTAATGGAAGTTTAGGAAGTGGTCAAAATAAAATAGTTGATCCTTTGAGTCTCCAGTAACATAGTTTTAGCCACAGACACCCCATCAATGTTTCTTTTGACTGTTAAGATGGCCAGAACTGTCGGGATTTTGTCAGTTGTGTATCCAAATAGCTCTCCGCACAACAGGGTTCTTAGTATCCAATGGGAAACACATGATTGCGATCATTTTTTTGCTCTGTGCCCAGTGACTGTACCTTTTGGAGCAAGATGGGCACTAGATAAAAAATAAATTGTGGTCTTCACGTCATTACACTTTAAAAATGATTTGAGTTTTAGTTGAAGCATTTAGCTGCCTTAAAACAAGACATCCTTGCATGTCTGCCAACACATTTGTTACCCACAGGTTTGTTTTTGCTGCAGCATGGTTTTGAAAAATTACTCTCCACACCACACCAGAACAGTGCTCACTGGTTGTTTAGTTTGCATGACAGTCTGTTCTTTGCCATGATAAGCTGCAAAATGTCAGTAGGCAGAGGTTTACCTGTGAAGTCACCAAAACAAAGATTCTGACAAGAAGTTTAGTTGTTTAAAACAAGTAGAATGACTCACTCAGGAAGCTTATTTTTCCCCTGGTAGTCATGCAAGTGCAGGGCTCTTTTTTTGGATATAGTATAAAGTAAAAATTCTCAATTACTATATTTGTTTATTTTATTTTTAGGTGCACTGTGTGTCGCTGTTGTTCTCTTTGTGACCACTAGATGGCATATTCATGCCATGTTATTGTTGTCCTCATTAAACGAGCCTTTGCTAATGGCAGTTCTTTCACCCACCATTATTTCCAATTTGCAAGATGTGCATCAGTTGACTGGAAATTCAAGCAAATGAGAAAGTTAATGGTGTGTTGTTTGACATTGTAATATATGATAAGAGGAAAGTGCATCGCCTTTAATAAGTATAGAGGAAAGAGAATGTTTTTTAACATCAGTGTTAAACTGATCAGTGGAAACAATAAGCAGCTCCCTTTTTAGGATTCCTTAGTGTATTGTCATTGTTTTACTCAGAAATTGGACTAGAGCCCGTTCTTGTTTATGAGCAAATCTGTCAGCACTCACTGAATGTTCAAAACACAGACGAGCTGCCTCCCAGCCTGTCTATGTTTGCGAGCCGTCAGGAAGCTCCCAGTGGGAGTACCAGTGAGAGTTGAGAAGGCGGGGAAGAGATAGAGTGTGAGGAGGGGGTCTAACCGAGACAGTTTCGCTCTTTTATCTGCCTTTACTGATGTTTCAGAAATATATGTAGGTAAGAAAAGAGGCTGGCATGCTTCCACACACATTCACTAAGTGGTTAGCAAAATACCCCACTACGCTGGCTGTGAGTGACAGCTATTACTCGAGGGGCAAGTTGTCCATTATGAATGCAGCATATTAAATAGCTTAGCTTTTTGGCTAGCGAAGAAAAGAATGGCACTTCTTGCACTTGATTTTAGGGTGGGCAGTTTGTAGAAAATCCTTTCTAATCCTTATTGTGGTGAGTGACAAGTACAAGTCAAAGGCATTTTAGTCCATGAAATTGTCTTATTCAGACTGTTAGAGAGCTCATATCGTAGACAGTTGAGTTTTCCTAATTTCTTTTGACTTAAGAGTTTGAAGATGATCTGTATACTTTGTTAAAGTTTCAAAACATATGCCTTGGAAAACTAAGAAGTTAAGCTGCTAAAACAGCCCAATTTGAATTCACAGTTTTTGTGATGTCACAAAAAAACAGCACATTTGCATGTATCTACCTACTTAGCCAACAGCAGTTTAGCTTGCCCATTCATCACGAAGTTATAAGGAGTGTTTCAGCCTGAACTACTTTTTGAATGAGGGATAATAAAGGGCAGACAACCAGAACATTTACATCTGTCAGTCTTAAAGGCACAGGCACAGAAACGGTGTATTTTTAAGAGATATAGAGAGCTTGGAAAATGGTCATATACAGTAAGGCGCAGGTAGAAAAAAAATTGACAAAGAAAATATGCCCAGAGTTTAGTCTACAGTGGCAGATAGTGGTGAGGCAGCCTGTCCTCAAAGACCCTCGCTCATTTAGTCCTCAGAGAGGGTTATCAATACTCAGTTTGATTACACAACTGACCGTGTTTTGGAATTCGTGCAAATTCAATGTCCTTAATGCACTTCGCTTATCAGTTAATGACTCCTGCGCTACTGTTCTAGCTAGAGAAGTAAACAACAATAGTTTGGCTGTAAACAACCTCCAGTCAGAGCAGATAAATGATGATGCAGTGTGCTCTCACAGTAGCCACCCAGTGCTTCAACATGACTCTTCATGTATAAATATCTAAAAAGTAAGTAAAGTAGTGATCACAGTGTGCCAAGACAGTCTTATCACCATTCCAGAATGTGAGCCTGTAAGGGGTGGTGTCTAAGATACGATGGACCAAGCCCTGTGGTCAGATATGCATAATTGCGAAAGCCCCTCTTCAATAAAATATTGATGCACTGTAAAGTACACTGGGGTCCAGTCGCTTTACTAGAGGCTATAAACTTGAGGACTGCATCAAAATGTTCCATCTGGTTGAGAGAGATAAGTTATTTTTGACTACCTGAAACATGTTATCTAGTATGTATCCAGCAAAAGAGTGAACTTGAGCATCAACTGCTGAAGCTGATAAGGATGAAGAGGTTTAGAGATCGCTAAATGTATCAAATTACCTGAAGGGGCTAATTTCACATTACAGCGTATTGTATAACCTGCTGGAAAGTTATGTTTTAAAGATTATTGTCTTGTTATAACCTGCTGTGTTTTGTTGTCATTCCTAGGTTTGTCTGACAGGGTGCTCTAGAGACCTCATGGTGCGTGTGGATCAGCTTTGTGCCTCCAAAAACATTAAAGTCTTCTGTGGGGATGTCTTTGGTTACCATGGATACATGTTCTCTGACCTGGGCCAGGAGCATCATTATGTGGAGTAAGGGACTTTTTGCTGTTCTATAATTAGTAATATCATATGAGGTGGTATTGATGTCTCTTTCTTTTCCTCAGAGAGAAAGCAAAGGTGGTAAAACCGTCAGAACAGGCTAATGATGGACCTGAAGTGAAGAAGCCCAAAATTGACCTTAATGAGACCACCATGGTGAAAAAGGTGTGTTTGTAGTATTTGTCTTTCATCATCTCTGATTGTTTAACAGTGGTTGTAATTGTATCAATCACTGCTGTACCTTATTCTCTTTTATGAGAAGACGGCCAGTTTCTGCTCTCTCAAAGAGGCTTTGGAGATAGACTGGACAAGTGACGATTCCAAAGCCCGTCTGAAACGCACCCCTTCAGAGTACTTTTTACTACAAGGTACCCAAAAATCCATACATCTACAACCCAGTATCCTGAAACATCCTTCACAACATTTTTGAGTAGAGATGGTGCAACAGTATTGTTTTCCAGTACCAGTATTGAGACCTTAAGCATCAGCCGATGCAATCTGATATTAAATATAAATATAAAATGAGCTATTTTTAGTTGAAACATTTCACAAAATATGAGCATCTAAAATTCTCAGCTAACAATATCATATCACACATTGAGCATGTGCTATTTCAGGCCAAATTTGTTACAGGAATAAAATTCATTCTCTCTCTGATATAAAATCCAGCATTGTCTGCTCATGTTGGTCCAGTACTGATAGAGATCAATATCGATATGCCATCTCTATTTTTTGGGTTGTTTACAGTTCAGTAGTGCAACATGTTCAAATAATGTTGCTAACAGATTGAGAGTAGCCTTTTTAAAATGCAGTATTCTGCACATGGAATTAGTTCCTTGTCTAATTATAGAAACCATCACAGTACTGCTTAGTGTATAGTTCTGTTCCATTGTCAAAGCTGCGACTGCTCTAATGAGTCTTTTTACATGAGCTCACCTGGCGTCCTCATAGAGGACAGCTCGTTTTCCATCACAGGCTGTCCATGGCCAGTCATGTGCAGTGACTTTCAAACCGAAAACACGCTGCCTCCGCCTCCGTAAAAACGGCTTCAAATGCTCCAGCGGCCCCTCCTTCATATATAGTAGTGAACCAATGGAAACAAAAACATGTCCTATTTGCGTGTTGAAGCATTTAAAGGTTAGCGGGTACATTAGAGTACTTATAAATGGCATGTGACGGCTGAGCTGCTTTTGAGGAAGGGCTGTTTCCTCTGTCTCACCTCACTGATTTTTCTGAGGTTATGTCACCCCACTGATGGGGTTAGCTAGACAGATATTGTGTCACTGATTTGAATCTTTCCTCAACCTCAAGCCGACACAGTGTTTTATGTGTTCATCATGTTTCAGTTGAGCCTGAAAGTTCCGAGTTTCAAAATATATGGCCCTTCATTTGCCTAGGTTTAATTTTGATAGTGACACTTTCAAAGCTGAAGGAAATGTAGCTAATAATACTTTTTGATGGAACCCTTTAAGGCTTGAGTAATGAGAAAAAGGGTAGGATGGAAGAGGTCTGTGCACTGTACTGTGCTTAATTTCTAGTCAAAACAGCCATTAAGTGGGGCTGAAAGATTAATCATTTTTATACCAAAATCGTAATTTGAAGTAGTGCAATTTTCTAACCGCAAGAGCTGCAATTTAAATTATATTCTACATTATTCACAGTTTAAAATTCTTAACTGCCATTCTGACGCAGTACATTGTGTTCAAGCCTTAAGCCTGAAAAAAAAAATGAATGTGATCCACCTTGTCGTAAAAAAATGCTTAGAACATAATTTAAAGAAAAATAATTGCAATTAAATTGCAATCCCAATTTTGGTCAGAAAAATAACAATTGGATATTTTCAACAAATCCTTCAGAGCTACCATTTATGTTATTCATTTTTCAATGCAAGGAGAAAAGCAGAAAACATAACAGAAAATAACACAGATGCCTCAACAGCTAAATATAATATATTTTTTTGTATTTAGTGTGTACTTTAGTGTGCACCAATTCTTTTCAGGAGGCTAGCCTCCAATTTTTCAAAGAAATCTGCAGGACAGGTGATTTTTTCACACCTCCACAGTTTAGTCTTAGTAGTTGGTTGCATTTTCTGCTTCTTACAATCCCAAGTAATCCCAAACACATTCAGTGATGTGGAGGTCTGGGCCCTGGTGTGGCCAGTCCATTGTTTTGAGGGCCCCAGCAGCTTCTTTGTTTTAAAACATTGTTATGAGCTGATACTCAAGGTTTCAAAATTGGTATTGGTGCCATGATCTCTAGTTAGAAGTTTCATGTCAGCTTCGGAGGTTCTAGCTTTTAAAGGCTAAGGCTCAGTATATGTTGTAAAAATGTTCTTTGTAAAGGGGGAAGTGGGATGAGAACTGATCAGTGTTCTCAAAACAATAATGACTTCATGTGTTTATTTTGGTGTAGACTTCAGTCACTTGCCATGTGTAGTGGCTGTAGCTTGAAATTTAAAGCAGTAATGAACAGAAATGATATAAAATACAAGTATGACAAGACTACGGGTAAAGAAATGAGTATAAATGTCAGGTCTGCCTTATGCTTGACCTTAACATTAATTTCTGTACCTAATTTTGTGTACTTACTGACCCCATCACAAGGAGAAAAAGAATATTAACATAATGTTGCTTAAGTTAGTTTGGGTGATGGTTTTGTAACTATAAAGCTGCGATTAGTGAAATTCTGTTTTAGTGATATGGGAACAATCAGTTTTGATTGACTGAGATGTAGTACAATACTTTAAAATGTCAGTGTAAAGCTGCACTGTTACCACTGCATTGAGACCACTCTTGGTGATATAGAAAGAGTAATGTTTTCCTAGAAGAAATAATGAAGTAAGAACACAAAATAATGTTTCCTTAATGTATTGTGGTGTTTGTGGCTGTCTTTATGACTGGTGGAAACTCAGAGTGCCCTAGTTCATGGTGTGTGGTTGAGTGGGCGGTCAGAAAGTTTCAGTGCTTGGTAATGTTGCCCAATGTAGCTTCACTTAATATCTGTCAAAGATCAAGTGAATCATTGTACTTCAGTTCTCTCAGTGCTTATAAATGTGCTCCTTTTTCTCTTTCTCCTCCAACAGTGCTGCTAAAATTCCGTACAGATAAAGGTCGCAATCCTGACCCAGGCTGCTTTGCTGAGGACTCGCGCCTGCTCCTACAGATCCGTGATGATGTTCTGGAGGCTATGGGAGTAAATCCAGAGCTGCTGCCCGACAGCTTTGTCAGGTCCTAACACAGTCACTGTCCTGCAGCATCTCATGGGTATCCATGTCACCAACATAATCTCACTGCATGTTTTGTCTTTACAGCTACTGCTTCTCAGAGATGGCTCCAGTGTGTGCCGTGGTGGGAGGAGTACTTGGTCAGGAGATAGTCAAGGTACAATCCCAGTAGCTTTCTCCAATAGCTTTCACATTCAATCTGTTAATTGTTCTTCAGTTTATTTATTCACTAATTTTATTAATGTATTTATACATTGTTAATTATTTATTAAGCAGAAACGCCCTTCTGGGACCGTTGTCCCATTTTCTGTGGGTCCTAGAACGAATAAGAGGTTTTAACAAGAGAAAGATACACTGTCAAATTAAACATGCATAATTAAAGCTGTTTGGTATCAAAAATGACGAAGTGAAAAAAAACCTAAATTCACCATACCAAATTCGTTCATACCAGAATTATACTTCTGGCTAGGTAATAGAAAAAAAACAAGATGAGCCCTAAGCAACTGAACTTTGTATTATTGTAATAGACTGGAAGGGACTTGTCAGCTGACTTGTTGAACAAACTCGGTGTTTCCCAATCTCTGGGTGATTTAAGTTTGCTGGGTTGTGGCAATAAACACAGGTGTTGCACCAGCAGTTGCTCTGGGTTTGCTATCTAACTGTCTAACATTCTGACAAAAAAAACCCATAAAATAAAACAATGATAGAGCAATTCATAAGCATCTAAAGCAAAGTAAAATCAAAATAATACTAAAATAAGATGAAAGAATTACACAGTACAATATTAGAGGAATTAATAAGCATGTAATACAAAACAATTTTCTAAAAAATAAAAATACTGAAAAGATTTAAAGATTACAAAGGTGGGACTTTTAGGATGGGAGAAATATGGGCTCTCTTTTTGGTCTCTGTGAGACCACAAGCTGCAGCATTTTTAATTAGTAACTTATTAATGTTTGTTTTAGACTACTGGTTATATATGCCTCTTTTTGGAGGTTGCTTTAAAACAGACAGGTTATTAGCTAACTAGTTTAACATAATATTTTTTATAGCTTTGATTTTGATTGTCTGGCAGTCAGCCCATCTTTCCCCTTGTTTTCTTGTTTAGCAACTACAAAAAAAAAAAAATACTTTCAACAGCCACTTCCATTATAACACTTTGGGATAGCAGAAATTTCATGTTGTAAAGGACAAACATTGATTGAGTGCTCTAGAAATATTCAAACACTCCCAGTATTCAGGCTAAATCTATGCCTTTCTGCTAGGTTGTGCTACATAAGAAGTGTCTTGACACTCAACAGATCACTAAATGTTGAGAAATTACAATCAGAAGGACTCCTATATTTTAAATGTAGACATTTAATTTACTATTTAAAACAAACAGTGAACATACACGTCTGAGGTTTTATATGTCATGTTGATGATAGTAAAATAGTGGTAAATCTGAAAGGTTTCTGCAGTACTGATCTGCCATAAATGTATTTAAAGCTTTGTTTTAAGCCAAAACTTTATCTCAAAACTATTTTGAAACAGTGTCTCAGGGATTAGGCAGCGTATTAGTAACCTTTTCATGTAGTAGCTTTCTGTGAGGTAGCTTTTAGAAGCATTAAATGCTTCAGACGTCTTGTTGATGGACCTCCACTGCTGCAGTTCTGACTTTTTATGTAGTAAGTAGTGAAATTCCCCTTTCAAAGGTTTGTTTTTCATATTTAAGTATGTGGTAAAGTTTTTAATGTTCTTTTTTCAGATTGCTGTCTTAAATGTATTGGTAACCTCAGTTATTTTAAATTTGAATGCATTAATGGCAACATTTATATGGGGATTTAGCATTTGGACATCAGTGGAATGAACAAGACACTGATTTGTGAAAGGTTTGGAAAGCAGACCACTGTCAATTAACACTTTTTATTGCCTATATTTGTTAAAACATAAACAGCACGCCACATTAGCAAACCCATCTTTCATGCTGCAATTTTCCACAAAATCCTTGTCCTCTATATAGTGGAACTTTGATGAACCGTGGAAGTGGCTTTTCTGATAAGGGTCTGTCTGAACCATATGGCAGCTGCCCTCTTCCTTGGAATCTGGGGCATATCCAAACGTTTTAGCTGCCGACACTTTTTAAATGCCAGGCTTGAAGAGGTAACATTCCGGTCACTGATGAAATCCAGTGTCGACTGTCTGAAATCTTGGCACAAAGTCCAACATTTGTATCGAAATAGCCTGTGGAACCACACCTAGTAAGTAAACCATGACCAGGTATTTGGGTGCATTGGTCATGTTTGAGGCTGTGGCGGTTATAGATGTAGGTCATGTTCACATAGAAGGCTGCAGAAATATTGAGTAAGCTCAGTGACGTTCTCCATAGGTCTAGGCACCTGAAAAAGGTGACCTCATCGTAAAGACTGGGACGTGCAGAAGGCTGGTGGAGGGTATGTGGTGGCTCCACTGGTGGCTGCGCAGGCCTTAGACCCACATGGTGGTGGAGTGAAGCCAGGCTGTCTCGCCATCTCGTTGCATGATGAAACATGCTGCAACTCACACATGGCCCTCTGCTCCTCACGGTCCCTCAGCCATCAGCCAAAAGGCACCACAACAAAGAAAACCACCAATGAGTTCAATTACATAGGCTAATGTTTGAAGGGCCAAGTGATTATTGAAAAATAACAGCTGTGTCACATTGATTCTAATGAGTTCTTGTCTCTGTCTGGTTGTGCATTTAAAAAAAACAGGCGCTGTCCCAGAGAGATGCCCCACACAGGAACTTCTTCTTCTTTGATGGTCTGAAGGGCAGTGGGGTGGTGGATTACTTTGGAGCCAAATAACCATAAAGACCAACAGACAGGTTTTTGAGATGCAGGCACTCAGCCCCTCAAAGCACCATGGGAAACAGAGTCCTTTTTACTGCTACAAGGAGGCTTTTTTTGGACTTTTGAAGCAGTAAGCAGTCCTTTGCTGCCAGAAGGAAGCTCAGGCAACTTGTCAGTTTTTCTATTCGTGCACACTTCAGACACTCACTTTGTTTCTGTCCACGATTGTGACTAGATGGTCAATAAGTTGCATGGAAACTTTTTTGTTTTTACATTTTATAATTAAAAGATCCAAAAAAAGCAAAATTGTTTTGGATTTCTTGGGCATAAATGCGATATGAAGAATTTAGGGCAAAGTTTGGCTGCATGTTCATTGAAACACTTTCAGTTTAAGAAGCTGCTATCTCTCCTGCATACTAGTACATAAATAGCTTATTCCATGAGGGGGGGTTTGTGGATGGCATGTCACGGAAGCCAACGGGGAGAAAAAAACGTAAAAGCCTAAGGGAGGTGAGTTCATCAGGTTGTTTGTATTAAGAAGACTTGGTTGGTAACTCGTTTGTGACCTTGCCTGAGGTATACGCAATGACGTAGATTGGCCCAGCATGCATGGTGACTCATGAGGGAAACAAGAAACAATTATTGTCTTGATTGGGAAGCTTTTGTTCAGCTGGTGGATCCCGCCTGTCCAGTCAGACTTGCTGGAATTCCAAACACTGCAAGTTATGTGCTTGTGTAGACGAGACGAGTACATCTCTTATTACGGATTGTTTTGAATAATAAGCATAAGAGATTTTAATATCTGAATTACTGGAATCTGTCAGAGACATGCAAAGTGAGTATGTTAGCAGACGGAAATAGTTTTTGAGTGCCCGTAAGGATGTTAGACTATCAACCAGACTAGCGTTTACTCTTTAGAAATCTTGTTAGACCGGCTAGACAGGTGCCAAGGGGGTGTGGCCCTAGACACAACTGTTTCTCTCAGGTGGTTGAGACACTTGAGGGAAATACTGGCAGAGGTGGCACAGACAGGGGCAAACAAACTGTTTTACTGTTGCAGAGTCAACTATTTTACTCCACATATAGATATTTTGGCTAGAGCAGGGCTGCCCAAAGCTGGCCCATGAGGACTTTTAATTTGGCCTGCCAGAAAGCTACCCTAACCCCACCCCCTCACTCCATGAGAGAACAAACATATTTTTACACTATAAATAACTTCTGATAAATTCTTATGTTTCTACTAAAATTTTATTTATTGGTTTTTTTCAGAGCCTTGCACTCTTAACTATACACTACATAGAGACACATAGTGTAATATTACAAAATACATTTTTAAAAGCATGATTTGAAACCTCTCTACCTTCTTTATTCTTCTCTCTCTCACTCTCTGTCTCTCTCAAAAAATCTTTTTGGCCTCTCTCACTCTCTGTCTCTCGAAAATGTCGTTTTGGCCCGCCACAACAAAAACTTTGGGTACCCATAGTCTTGAGCCCTGTGTCATTTTGTTTAGACTGCTCAGTCTAGGTCCTTGTCATGTGATCTGAGGTGGGTAGAGTAGCCAAAACCCATACTCAAGTAAACGTTTTGTTTTCTTTATGAAATTAGAATGAAAGTAAAAGTACCTTTCTAAAAACAACTTGAGTGTATTATAATAATGCCAGGTCAAAGAAATACAAGTCCTTCTCGGTTGTTGCCAGATGAACTGCAATGAAACTGTTCGCTCTCTGATGTAATGTTTGTCTACAATAAAATGCTACACCTCAAATGTCAGAGATGTGACTAATCACAACCAGTACTGATGCTGTCGTCAACGTAACAGAAATAACTAAATGTTAATGGCTAAAATTTAACTGTTACAGAGAAGAATTCCTTTCCTGACAAATACTTGTACAAGTAATAAAAGCGTTATATCTGTAGTAAAAGTATTATATGAAAATAGTGAAGAACAGATCTCTTTGTGTTACTTCAGTATATGTGACTGATTAAATGTAATTAGCTACTGCCCACCTCGGCATATGATACGCTTTACTCAATCGCCAGTGACGGTGGTCAAATAAACAAAATGAAGGGATGTGTGAAAAGGAAAACAACAGTCAAGGCCTTGCAAAGAGACCATGACTGATTAAGACCACTGCTCTTTTCCCCAGATTAAGAAAATGGAGAATTAATTACAGACAGAGTGATAAACCCCATTTTTAATTAAGGAGAAACCTTCATCTTGCAATCCTGAAGGACCCCCCACCATGAGACGGCAATGCTCCCCTGGCCAAGCATTCTATTTCCCCTGGCTGTAAGTAATGGAACATCAGCAATGACCAATCATAACACTGTCACCAGACTTAACTCAAGAAAAAGGAACCTCTGATTGGTTATTTTCCATTCAGAACCAGGTAAGGACAACATGGCCTATGCTGGTTTTGTCACAAGAAATGTTTACATTTGATACCTTTGTGGTGCATAAACAAAAACAGGTTGACAGCTGATAGACTGGAAGTCAGATCATGAATGAGGAAATGGGTGCACAAAACCCCTCAAGATTATATTGTACAGCCGGTCTTGCCTGTTTGAAGTATAAAGGCCTAGATTAGGTAATGTTTTCAACATGAACATTGTACTTTTACATTCCAGATAGACTCATCACATGTTAAAGAAAGTGTTCATGCCTAAATGGGATTTTGCACTAGGAATATATGGAGTTTTGGCTAAAATTCCTTTATTATTATTGCCTAATTTCTACAGGACAGTGTTCCTCCTCTTGCAAATACAACCTAGTATTTGACTAAAAAGCAACCTGATTAAACCAAAGCAACATATAATTTAGTGCACTTTTGATAAAGCATACACTTTAAATGAAGCAAATGACTCAAAAATTTGGTTAGAATTCTTATATTTATTTTTTAAAAAGGCAAAGAAAAAACATACGAAAAATTCATATAGAAAATTCACATAGAAAAAAGTCCAAACGGCAAATGTACAAGGCTACAAAACGAGATTGACTTGAGCTTGAGCGTAGTGTGATGTTCACAGTACACTTAAGGCCTTTCCCTCAGAGTGAGAGTGCATCAGAGAACACACTTATCCACAAAAAGCCACAGGATGGCCACCGAGTGGCCTCCACCACTGCTTTTATTCAGGAAGTCATGAGACAGGCAGTCACGAGGAGACCTCTAGTACTGAGTATGCTCGGAGATACAGTACCCAGATAAAAAGGACAACAGAAAAGATGAGTGCTAACAAGGTTTTCACATGGTTTACCCACAGACAGTACAAAAGTGGTTTGCAAGGGAAGCTCTTTGAACAAAACCTATGTTAGATATGCACCTGATGTCCATGTAAGAGCTATGGCAACAAGTCATGTAGTTGAAGGCCCCAGAGAGATTACCATCCCAAAACAATGATGCATCTCCACATATTGAAGTCTGAAACGTCTGTTTTCAAGTACAAAAAGTCTGGCTCAGTTTCTTTAATTAGTATAAACTTCTCCGCAGCAAAATAATGACCATCAATTGAATTACAGCAGAACAATTCAACATGGTTTGCTCTTCTGTGGTTTTGTTCAGGGTGATGGTTACAGATCATATTACACAGAAACAGTGAAAATACAGAAATATACAGTATGGGTTCCCAGGTAAGAAAACTATATCTCCATGCTCATTCAATCTGCTTGATCATTTGAAACCCCCCAAGCCTTGCTTTAAAGACAAAAAAAAACACAGTTCATGAAAATAACTTTAAACATTAACATCGCTTTATAAACCAAATATTTCAGATCACCCCCTATTTATCACTAAGGACCAAGTAAAGGACATACAAAATAAATAGCTTACACCTCTCACCTTCGTTTCTCAGGCACAGATATATCATATATTTCTAAGGGGAATGTTCACTAACGAAACCTGTTTTTAAATTCTCAAGAAAAGGACGTATCAAAATCTAGGTACTTTTTTTTGAACAGTTAAATATCTACTGGATTTAAGTACGTTCTTTACCTCCCAGCATTGGTCCAAACGGCTCAGGAAAAACAATTAAACTTGTCGTACTGCGTTCAAACAAAAAACAAGGAACTGTTAAGTACTTTAAGGTTTCATCATCAAATTATAGACAATGCATCAGAAAGAGAATGGCCAGTTCCTTCCATCTCTTGTCTTTAGCCAATTCTTTTTTTTCCTCCCACAATATTTACAAGTGTTTTGTTACAAATATTAACACTGCTACCTAGCCATTTGGAGAACCTGTGGTCTGGCCTCACCACAAGGCTTCTGGCCTCAATCTGGGTGCCTCCATTGGAGGTGACCAATCTTTGAAATGAGTGGAGAATTTTGCCAAAGTGTAGATACAGGTGGGAGCACCAAGGCACTGACCTTAGACCCCCCACACACCGTTCACTCATCACCCTTGTTGTGAAACTAGCATGTGTAGGCTTTTTAAGGGTGATGTAAGGCACGTTTGCCACACTGCGTTCAGTGTAAAGGACGTGTTTGAAATGCCTGTCCCTTCTTGATAGTCACATTTAGTACAACCCTTTTTTCCCTTAAGCGGTGTGTGGGTATGCCTCCGTGTGCCATTGGTGACTTGATTGTGCAGCAGTATTGCTCTGTAAGGCAGCTAAGAGCATGTCCTATGACAGATACAGCATTTCAGTGCCTGAGGAGCTACAGCACAACCCAACCATCCAATTAGTGCTGTCTAGAGACCTGGATACTCTGATTTTTGACGTTTGGCTGTGAGACAAAACTGGTGTCTTATAAACAAAAGGACATGCCAAGATTAGTTAATGCTGGTCAACTGGTAGGGAGTCAAGGATACTTGAATGTGCCATGACAGTAAAACAATGTGAATACAATTTAAATATATATTGGAATATATCAAATATAATTCTATATATGGAATATATTGTCACGTCATAGTAAAGCCTTGTAAATTTCTTTAACTCAACTTTTTTCCATTTTATATTTTATACCATTAGAAAGTAGCAGCTGCCCTTTACATTTTGTGACTGTCACATGATGAACGGACCAATTGAAACAGTCCAAAATAACATGGAATACCGTCCAAAATAACGTGGAATACCGTTTTTTAGATACAAGGTTTTGTTTCGACAGTGATAATATACAGAATATATAGAATTAGATCGAATTCTTGCAAATTACATGAGTTATTTAACTGAACTGGAGACTATCAGACACACTTTGTTTGACACGCCATTGAAAGACACCTAAAACAGATTGACCTGACACGACTCCTCCGAGTATCCAGGCCTTTAGGCTGATGTCAGCAAATGTATGAACACCAAAAAGTCCAAGCGATTGTGCTTCACAGTTTAGAGATCCAGAGAGGCACACAGACTTTTCCTCCCCCCCCCACCAGGACACACACTTCAGTCACATGCTACATGAAACTCCTCCCAAAAAAGAGACAGTACAATGTACAACATGTACAACAGGAACAACACAAACAAAAAAATGCATTCTGGTCCTGCAGAAATGTCCCCGAGCCAGTGCAGTTCATTAGTGGATGTGTTAGGGAGCGCCAGCGCCCCCGAAGTGGCCAATATACCCGTTTATCTGACCCCATGCTGGTAGAGGGTGCTGATGGTGTCAGCAAGGAAGGCCACCAGACCACGATACAGGCCTCTCCAGTTCTGCCACTGAGGGTCCTCATTCTGAAACACACAGAAAGAATGTAAAGAGTGAGAAGGGCTGCGTGATAATCAAAATAAAACTGGTCTTTGGTCACAATATGAGAGCATCCTTTAAATGCTATTTATATACCATCACAGTTTAAAACCATAAAGGTTTTTTTTTTGCCAGAAACATAAGCCTTTTATTGTGATATGATTTCAGGCACCAGAGTCAATAAAATATCTAAAGGAATTAGGAATATCTAATGTTAGCCAGTTAGCTAACTTTAGCTAAGCTCAATGAAATGCAAGTCTATCAAAATGATATGATTTAATGCACCAGAAGCATTAAACAATGATATCTAACTACTAACTTTAGCAACTAGCTAACTTTAGCCAAGGTCAATAAAAACATCATTACATAATTTAATACCCCAGAGACGATAAAAATGATATCTAACGTTAGCCAACTAGCTAACAGCTAAGTTCAATAATACCACAATTATGTTTAATTGAGGGAGTCAAAAATTATGATCACGATGAAAATACAGTTTACATTACACCCTAACCACAGCAATTTAAACACCTCAGCCATTATTAGTGGAAGTCAAAACGTGACCACTGAGAGTACGACAACATCAGCTGGCAGCTCAGAGCAATTCTCTGTTCTCATTGTGATTACTGAGCGGTTGTCAGCCTCAAGAGTGATTTTCAATTATCAGTAAAGCAACTTCGAATAAAATCTCATTTGACTAATTTAGCCATCTAGCTAAAACAGTGCCTCAAAACTATTCCACTGCAGTCCCTAAACAAAATATCACAAACAACAAGACACAAAACAAGTTCTTGATAAGAACATAAACCTGGCTGCCAAATAGAACATTGCTAATAAAAGATGTATCTTCCCCGTGTATGAGAAAGAGGGAGAACGTTAAAAAGACACAAAGCAATGAAGAGTTTTTGAGTATGTGTATGCATTTGTAAGGCAGAGCCAGACAGACAACGTCTGCACGACAGTCTGGTGAGGTGCTATTAAACAGCTGCTGTGAGTCATCCTCTAAAAATAACTCCTCTCAACAATGAGGGGGCACAGATAGAGAGATCAGGAGTTGGACTAAGTGGGAAGGGGCAATGGAAAGCTGATGAATAACATCTACAATAACAAAAGTGGGCCATAAAACACTTAACACTGAAATAAGCAGGGCATACGTGCAGTCAGTGTGTAGGCGGCAAAACTGTGACTGAAAAGAAGTGCACTGACCGGCACGGGTCATGTGAGAACGCAGGAGTTTTAGACAACTGTGAACACGGCACAACACATCACTGGCTGTGAACTGATACACATCAGCTCTCTGCTAAAGTTGTCACTACAGAGTCCACTCTATCATTACCCAGCCTGGCTGCTGACTGTTAATTACCAATTAGACAACAAGTACTCATTCTGAAACTTAGATTTGACACTAAACAAGAGCATTTAAGTTACTTGTATACATTATTTAATCAAAAAAGAAAACTGTGTTGGTGTCATGTATTTTATAACATGAGAATGGTTATGCATTTTAATGTACTACTTTTATCTAAGTTCAATGGTTCACATCAGTGAACGGTACTAGCTCTCATTAACCACAGATCTTGGGTTTTTATTGCTGTTCTGCTTTTACATTTAAATGCATTTACATAATCGGTTACATTTACATTCAATTTACATTTTGTGTAGACAGGTTCAAGTCTGCACTTCTGTCTTTCCATAAAAAGAGTGTTCATACAACAATAACCTCTAATCAAATTTAAATCATAATGAGAGATCTCTTCTCTGCATGAACTCGAATGTGGTATCGACTGAATGTTTAGAATCCACATTTTCAACAGAATTTCTGTTATTTGCTGAATTTAATATAAGTAAAACATAACGTGTGGAAAGTTATGACACTTTTATATTTTATATTGAATTTTTTCCAATATGTTAAACTATTTTCACTACGAACTAACAAAATATGTCATTTGACGGGGGTTATTCAAACTTATGCATATGACTTTATGCGTTTTTATTTTTTTACTGCTGTTTATAACCTCTCACAACCTGCTGCCAACTACTGTATATTCTCTGATACACTATTGTTATTGTCTTTCTTAGCACATTTACATAATAATAGTTCTTATATCAGTTGTCTGTTCTGTAATATTACAGCCCTGTCTCGTACTGTCCACGTACATTGTTGTCTGTATAATTACACACAAATAAGAATGCAGTTTGATTACAGTGTATATTATGGTCTATACTGTTAATATCACTTATTGCTGCTAATGTAACAATTTCTTTATCTCTTTGCATGTCCTTGTCATACAAGGCAAATAACCCTTGACTCCAGAGAGTATCAGTGAGAAGACGGCACAGACCGTTCTGAACGAGAGAGCAAGAGAGAAGTTATTGAGTAGTGAAAAGGGGAGGGGGTAGTGAGCTGTGCTCTGCTGATCTCATGTGCCTGTGGTGGAAGCGCACTCCCCTATAGACACAGACACGCGCACGCACGCACACAGCTTTTGTTGATGTACACTGCTTGAGGAAGTCCCCGTAATTTCTCTGCAGGTTCCAAAGTAAACAACGCCCTTGCACAGTAAAAGTGCACCGGTATCAGAGTTCAGTGGGGCTACAAAACATGTCACGGTGCCTGCTCCAGGTGACTCCACAAACAGCTGGCTAAGCCCCACAACAAAGTTGATTTTACGACTTTACGTGTGTGTCTGAGTGAGATTGTGTGTGTTTGTGCAGGTGGCTGTATGTGTTTGCGCGAGGCCAAGGGTCTCAGTGAAACTGGTAAACAATGCTGTGCTATGATATTATGTGATTATGACGCTTTGCAAACTGTCCCTCCATCAGTAGAGAAGTCAAAAGCCAGTGCAACAGTCAGAGACCCAAGTCAAATGGCCATTAAATACAAGTTATTCTTTTTTCAGCATCAGGAAACATGTATTTAACAGAAAATTACACATAAGCCTCAACCACTGAGCATAACATCAAATGTATTAGTTATTTAGTGTGTCCACCCTTTGCCTTTATTACAGCTTCCATCCATTCAGACTTGCTTTCAGCTTTTTAAAGAAATCTGCGGGGGCATATTGCTATACTTCCAAACTTCAGTCCATTGCATTTTCATCTTCTTATGATCCAAGTAATTCCAAACACATTCAATGACGTTGAGGTCTGGACTCTGAGGTGGTCAGTCCATTATTCTGAGAACACCAGCAGTTTCTTGTTTGATTTTCAAGTTTTCTTTTGTCTATTTTCTTTTTCTCAGTAACAGTTTCTTGACAGCTACACATCCTTTCAGACCCATAGCGCTGAGTTGTCTTCTCACAGTGGAAGGATGGACAGAAAGAACTGCTGATTTCTTCAGATCTGAAGCAAGAGTGGAGCTTGATTTTCTCCCCTCTATCAAAGATGAAAGCTGTACTGTTTATTTGATGGTGTCAGATTGGTGGTCTACATTTTTTTTAAATCTTTTAGTAGGTTTTTGAACTCCAGTGCTGGAAGCATCTATTTTTCCAGTTATTTTCCTTTGACTCCCCATTTCCTTAAGTGGGCTGTTTACATCTAATGTACTCAGAAATAACTGCTAAAAATGAATAACTTGGACTTGACGACCATTTTGACTGGAAATTAAATAAACCAAGGAGAGTCTTTGACTTTTGCACAGTACTGTCCATCTTTCCCTCATGAATAAGATGCCAACAAAATCCTGCCTTTCCGTTTACTTATTTTTGCTAACAATTATGTTAACATAACTTGTTTATTCATGAGGAAACTACATACATGTTTAAACTGAGTAAATATAAGAAAGTAAATTCAATACATCACTTTTTTTTTTTTGCTGTACTGTATTCGTTTGTGCTGTCCTGGGCAAACAACGCGTAAATGTAAACATGTAGCAGGCGTGTGTGTGTTTCTCATGAAGGCTGGTGCACCAAGTGAGTAGTGGAGTAATGTGATGACATCATGTGTGTTTGTCTGAGGAGACGAGAGGAGGGGGAGATGGGTGTGTGTGGGGGAGGAGAGATTAGCCTCTGTTTACTCCAATGACTGACTCCTCACGCGATACAGCAGGGAGATTGAGAGAGGAAGGAAGGGAAGGGGGAGAGAGTGATAGAGACAGAGAGAGAAAGAGGAAGGAAGGGAAGAGAGAGAAAGAGAGAGACAGAAACAGAGGAAGAAAGAGAAAAAGACAGAGAGAGAGACAGAAATAGAGGAAGTAAAGGGGGTAGATAGATAGATAAAGAGAGAGAGAGAGAGAGAGAGAGAGAGAGAGAGGCAGAGAGAAAGATTGAGAGAGAAGGGCATTGGGTTCAACCACAACCGGAAACTTGACTCCAGTCACAACACCAGCCGTGGTGAATACTGCACTGATCCATTTACTAGAAAAGCCACTGGAGGCTACACACACACGCACACAAACACACACACACTTACATACGTTTTCACACACTGCCACTGACACACACACGCCTGGTCACACCCAACACCATGTACAGTGCAGGTCATCTACTGTTAAGCACATACAGGCTCCTCACCCTTCTCTGAAGGTAAACTGCATTCATCTCATCCCCTATGGTCCTCAGCTGAATGGCCACTCTGTGGATGGCTTGCTCCTCCGGCGTGGGCTCCTCCTCAGCAGGGGATTCTCTGCGGCTGGAGTCTGCTGAGGAACTGTGGCTTTCAGGCATGAGATCATGCAGAGGCTGCTGCGTCTCGGCAGGAGAGGACCGCTCCGGTTCAGTTCCTAAGACAGAAGACATGACATGACTGTCTAGCGGCCATCTAATTCCTGACAAATGCAATCAGATGATTTTAATTCCAAGGCTGAATACTGGTATATTTGTTAAGATTTATTAAGGTTACGCAAAGTTTACAAGGCTTGAGCACCTTGTCATTAGGACAGGGTGGGAATACAATCTTTAATTGAAACAGAATGTTTAAACCTTTTATACAACTTTAAAACTACAAAAATGTTCTTCATACTCGCTGGTTCTTAAATTTAACCTATGTTTAAAAACTATTTTATGGCATTACTATGGCCTATTTAGACTTATGTGCATATTTCTTTCAATTCTCAATATTAACTCCTTACAACGTCACATCAACTATAGAAAAGTGGTGGCCCTGCTTGGCAACCCACTGACCCAAGTGAATGACCAATTCACAGGGATGAACAGGCTGACTGTCTAATGGCAGCTGCGTGCCAACTCCAAAACCAGCCCATCCCCCACCCATAACGTCACATGCTCCTGCCTGAAAGTAAACCCTCAAACCTGCTCCAATCCCTGCCCCTGTCTCTAAGAATTAAAGGGCACCTCATGGCTCACCGCCATCAACCTTGTATTTTCTCCTTCAAAGTTTGACTGTAATCTCTTCTAATCTTCTTAATAAGTCTAGAATATGTGGGCTGGTGGTATCTGTGTGTTGCATGGACGCATCTCCCGCCTGCCCTACTGTAAATAACATCTGATGTTGTCTGGTTGCTGTTTTGGGAGCTTGCAAGATCCTGTATTGGAAAGTGCATCTTTTAAAAACAATAGCTAACACAGGTTGTTTGACTGGTTAGAAAACTTCAACTAAAAAATATTCTTGAGTATTGTATTGATGCCTTTAATCTATGTAAACAAACGTAAGCAAATAATGCCAAATGAAATGAGGTGAGAAAGCATCACACAGAGAAAAATCCACCAAAGATGCATCACAATTACTGGTAATAATTACATTATAATACAGTAACTACGCAGAAAGATACTTGGCTTAATTTTAAGCAGCCAACAAACTGGATGTGCAGTCGACCAAGAAAAGGCCTGTGATGGCTGGCGTGCTCAGCCCACATAAAACAAACAATGCTTTAGTTTGTTTTATGAGTCTTGACTTTAACGTAGTTCACAAATAGCTCCACAGGCACAGGAAACGCATTGCTGTGGGGATGAGCTCTGCTACCCAGGAGAATGTGCTGATCCGTAGAGCAGGTGACTTAACAGAGCTAGAGAGAGCTGTGGTGTTCTGGCTTGTTGCCAGGGTAACTGTAAGCCTGTGCAGCCTGAGATGGGTCCCAGCCATTGGTGGACAGGAATGAGGGGCGGGCGGGGATAGGGTGGACAGCAGGGGCATGGGGAGGGACCTGGAGCCTGCATCCTTTAAAAAGGGGGTGCCGACAGAGGAGCGCTAGGAGGGTTCAAGCGAGGCTACCGAAAAACGGAACAATGTGGGAAACGGTGCAAAAATATGGCTGACAGTTAGTGCAGGACCAAAACACAGAAAGGACACTGCTCAGTGCAGTGGGACCGGCTGAGGCTGTGAGTTGGTCGAGTTCAATGGGAAGCCACTTGCTCAGGGCAAGTCTCAACATGCCTCTGATTCTGTATTCTAACACTCGGCCACAGAGCGAGAGGGGGGAGCACTTCCTGGAGCCTCGACCTTGAAGCAAACCCACCAAACGCTCCACAAACCAATTCTGCCACTGTTAACCAGTCATACCTAAGCTGTTGCCAACTATATGCTCAGAGATTTTAACCCATTAAAGTCCATCTCCAGAGTTGTTTGAGTGTGTGCATGGTCTAGTGCAGAGGTCTTCAAATCTGGACCTTGAATCCAGTTTAAAGTCCTGTATTTTGTAAATACTGGTAGTTAATTGAACTGCTGATGGAGTTGATTGGCCACCAAGGGCACCTACCAGTGGCTACAAAATCCAGGCCTGGAAACTGGATTCAATTTCCGGATTTGAAGATCTCTGGTATAGTGAAATGTATCAGCATGTAGAATTGGAGCTTTCCATGTGCTGCTGTGTTTTCTATCACTATATAACAGAAGCACAATGCTGCATTTACTGTTGAGGGCACTGCATTAGTTTCACACATATTTACAATGGAATTAAGCTCGCTAAGGGGTTACTATCAATTTGTTAGATTGGAGTAACAAGGAATAATGATTTAAGCGTTAAATATATTCCTATATGTTTTCTTGTTGTTGTGACACATATGAGGTAAAACTAAATATTCAGCTTTGATAGGCCGTGTTCAAAGTAAACACGTTAGGAAATCACATCATATTAACAGAGAAGAGTAGATTAAAAAGCCGAAAGACCTGCAATCAGCACATGCTCAGTAATCTGCCGTACCTGTGTTGTCTCTGAGTGGGCCATCTTGCTGGTTGGTGCTGGGCAAGTTCACAGCATCTTGCGTGCGGGCATGGGGCAGGAGTACAGGGCTGGTCTGAGTGGCCATGGTCCGATGCCGGTGGCGGGCCTGAGAGGGTGGATGTGTGCCTCCGCTGGGCCAGGCGTCCCGACGCAGCACCTCCATCCTGCAGCTCTGTGGCGCCGTGGGAGTCTGGTTGTCCGCCCTGCTGTCCATCTGCGGCCGAGCCATAACAAACACCACCTGCAGTGAGCGGAAAAATAAAAAAGATAAATCTTTTTGTAGCAGCCAGCACTGTGTAGCTTATGTCACATGTATGAATATATATTTAACTTAGACTTGCTATGATAAAAGATCTATGATAGATAGGGGTCTAAGAAATCAAACCAAAACAGAATCAGGTTTCCATCTGAGGAAGCATTGCTGTGAATTCTAGTGAAGAAAAAGTGCAAAAGCTACCGTTTCTCGTGAAAATATAGGACAGACAGACAGATGAAGCAAATGCACACGGCATTAAGTGGTAACTGAGAAAGACAAAAGAATGTTTTTTTTTGGTTTTTTTTTGGTAAAAATCGTGTTTTCCTCTTTTTCTGAGTGAACCCATTAGCCTACACTTCTCTGGTCCGCCGCTAGGCGGCAGTACCGCGGCGCGTGCGGCTTGTTTGTAAACAAATCCGTGCAGGCGACGGCGGTTAGAAACACAGAATAACAACAGATATGAACGACACGGTCGCGATAATCGCACCCACGGCGTCGACAAAATGACCAATTCCACTCCACTCTTGTAATAAGAAACATGCAGAAATAGTAATAAGTGTCGCGAGGCGACATTTGGAGGAGGCGCGAGGATGACATTTCCACGTTGCAACATCGCTGTCGAGATCTTATCAGCGGGCTCGTTTGGCTTCAACGGCACTGCCTAAAACGGAAATTATGAAGCACTGGAAAAGTAGCGCCTGAGAAGACTTTAAACAGAGACAAGTGCACAAGCGCCGGGTGTAGACAGGAAAGAGTGGGGAAACGTGCTGGAAACTGACGAAGCTGAAGGCAGCTTCTTATTCGAATTTTCCCGTTCCACCTTAAACGGTGCAGCGGCTCAGTAGTTACGATCTAGGTTCAGGCGCCAGAATGTAACTGCTGCAGAATTTAAGGTGGAACGGGAAAATTCGAACAAAAAGCTGGCGAATAGGAAACCGACATAGCTTCGCTGGAAACTGACAGTTAGACTGACTTACGCTGCGCTGCACGAAACAAACTGGCCTGTCTCGGTGCCGCCTTCACACTAATCCTGAGACACTGACAGAAGTTGCAGAATAACTGAAATCGAGCCAGATAAACAGCCTACATAGTCAGTCAGCACAACAAATGCCAGCGGTAGATCACCTATATAACAGCTGCTTAACTTCAAGATCAGAAGAAAGAAGAACTGTGACTAACACAGCACACAACAGATAGAAACCGGTGGTCTGACAGCGGTTTAGCGTTAACCGTTAGCAGTCTGGAGCGAGGAGGTGGCACACCGACCCACAGTTAGCAAGCCTTAAGTTGCCGAACAACTCGAGAATGATTCACCGTTCATGCGTGCCAAAATAGGCCTGCCAGTGCTTCCACTGACAAAACATCTTCGCTCTTACCTGTTACAGACAGCTGTTTAGGAATCGGCAGTTATCAGTCCAGTGCTCAGCTTTTACCGATGCGGCTCTTGCTAGCGGGACACTCTCTGCGGAAAGTAGTGCCGCTTACTCAGCGCGCATGTTTTGATCCACACGAACAACAATGTTATTCCAGTTTCTTTCACAGGATCTGCTGCCGAGTTAGTCCGCGCATGTCATGCGATTGTCGTCAGTGTCGTCAATATCCGAGCTGTGCCCAAAAAGAAGAGTCGGCTGGCGGCTTCTGTTGTTGTTGTTGTCGGTGTAGGAGCAGTAATGACACGAGCACCTTTCACTCCACCGTCACGGCCTCTCGCGAGGCCACGCCCCTCTCCATCAGTCCCACAACAAGTCCTGACATGCTCATTATCACCAACTACTACTTTTTCTTCCTCCCTCTTTTTTGTTTGCTTGCTACAAATGTTTCCTCTTCTTGAAATGTCACAACACTTTGAGCGTCGCCGCTTTACAGTCACACATTTTTGGCGCTTTCTCGCTGATTAAGAGCCGTGCTCACATTTACACTCTTAAAAAAGATGGTTCTTCAGGGGTTCTTTACTTTAGTAAAGGCAAGATTTGTATTTAGACTCATGAGTTTTACACTCTTTTAAAAGTGTTTCTTCAAGGGTTCTTCAGTAAAGAAAATGGTCCTATATAGAACCATGAACACTCAAAAACCCCTTTGCATGCTAAAAGGTTCTTTAGATTGATGAAGAATGTGCTGTAGATGGTTCTATATAGAACTGTTGTGAAATAGGTTCCATATGGCACCAAAAAGGGCTCATTGTTACGATGGTAAGCTTCGCTCTTAAAAAAGATGGTGCTTCAAGGGTTCGTAAATAAAGAAAAGGGTTCTGTATAGAACCATGAACACTCAAATAACCCTTTACATGATTAAATGGTTCTTTGCATTATGAAAGAGGTCCTCAGATTGAGGGAAATTGTGCATGAATGTGCTACAGACAGTTCTATGTAACACCCAAAAGGGTTCTTTTATTATTACAAGCTTGACATCATAACATTTTCAAAAAGGTTCTATATAGAACCATGTACAGCACATTGTCTATCAGTCTGAAGAACCCTTTCATAATGAAAAGAACCCTTTAATTATGCAAAGGATTCTTTGAGTATTCATGGTTCTATATAGAACCATTTTCTTTACTAAAGAACCCTTGAAGCACCATCTTTTTAAAGAGTGTCATAATAGATTTTTTTTCAGTGCTATATAGAACCCTTTTCCACATACTTCTATATAGAACCATCTACAGCACATTCTCCCTCAATCTGAAGAACCCTTTTATGATGCAAACTAACCCTGTAATCAAGCAAATGGTTCTTTGAGTGTTCATGTTTCTATATGGAAGCATTTTATTTCTTAAAGAACCCTAAAAGAGCCACCTTTTTAAGAGTGTAGCATAACCCTTTGGTGCTGTGTATTATATAGAACTATATAAAACATTCAATTAAATTCATTCTCCTTCAATCTGGAGAACATATCGCCATGCAAAGAATCATATATAATCATATAAGAATCGTATAAGAATCATATAAGCATGCAAATCATATAAGCAGGGCGATTACAAAAACCCTTAAAGAGCCATCTTTAAGTGGGGGAGAGGGGGGGCATTTCGGTGCCCAATTTTATGCTCTATGCTGTGGGACTCCCCTTTCCCCATGTTACTAAATTCAGTGGACAGATATGCCCATGACTCACTCTGTGGGGGACAGGTGCTCATCTACAGAACCTCATCTTCTCTGTTTTTGTACCACAGTGCTGCCTAGTGCCTGAACTTGTCACCAACAGTAGACCTTTCCAAAAACAATAGTCCCTTAATAAACCTATTCTTTGTATAGTTTGAAAAGACATAACAGACTTTATAAGAAATGTTAACTTATGAAAATTCTGATATTCCAGGTCATTTTGTTCCCAGTACATACATACATACATACATCTTCTAAACCACTTATCCTTCTGGGTCGCGGTGGGGTGCTGGAGCCTATCCCAACTGTTTCCAGTAATGGAATATTTTTTTTTTCCAGACCAAAATCTGTGCAGTCCAGGAAAATCTTGAACAGGTGGCAGCACTGCCAGTACAGAGCCTCCAAGGGCCGTGGTTAAAAAAACACAGTAATGGTATTGGGTTCCCTTGTAATGATTTTGCGTTCCCTTGCAAATGTTTTGCGTTCCTTCTTAATAATTTTGTGCTCCCTTGCAAATGCAGTGGATTTTAAATGGAAATGCCAAACTTTTGTGAGTGAATGCAAACGCTTTGCAAGGGAACACAATGTTCTTTTTTCGCAAAGGCTCTTTAGGGGCTTGGTACTACCAGTGCAAACGAACTCTGAAACATTAATCGAAGCTACTAAATGAACTTAATGTCTGAGCCGTCTGAAATGGTTGAAATGCCAACAGCCTACAAAGTCAGTTATTACACTCAATACCAGTGTTATCAGATTATATTCTGAGAAAAAAAATTTGCATTTGTGGCTAAATCACTAGATGATAAACAAAAATAATGACAGCGGTGGAGCCACAAACCCTTTCAGTGTTAATCAGCAGTTTGGAGCAAGTGTCATGACTCAAGATATAATCGATCTAAATCTAATTGTTTCTTCAATCTAATTAAGGGGTACAGTTATAGATGTAACACTTACACCAATTTTATATTTATTTATGTTTTTAGACTTCTGCTTTCTTTTTGGTCTGTGGAAACAAAGAGTCAGCTAAGAATTTAGCTTTCAGTACACTAACCGAACTTTAATAGCAAGACTTATCTTCTGGGCTACTTAAAACATTCCAGGCTTACATGCAGGCCTGTTGTAGCTGAGATTCCTGAAAATTGGCATTAAAGTGGCAAATGAGTAGGCAGAATCTATTCTGTGGTGGTTTTAGACTAACAGACTATGCCTGGGCTTTACAGAAGGACTATACGTAAGTGTCAAGTTTAAGGTCCTAGCGAATAGCTGGGCGTGATGCAGCTCTTAGAGAAACCAGGTTTCTATAAAATGTGAAATCATTTTTGTTTTTATTCCCTGTTAATCATTTTTCACATTTTTATACTTTGCATGTGAAATAAAATCCCATCAGTTTGCATTTGGCCTAAGATAGCAACTGGATGGGCTATGCTAAGTTACTAAAATGCTGAAAAAGCACTTTAATCTCAATAATTACATGATAATAATATCTCTTACATTAATTGAGTTATGCTAATTGAGCAAGTGGAAATCCCCAATGAATGCTCCTTTGCCCTTTAAGCCTTTGTCCGTGTATGCGTGTGTGTGTGTGTGTGTGTTGGGGGGTGGGGGGGGGGTGTTGGGGGGTGTTGTATTGTTGGTGTTGTGTGTTGCATTTAAATCGAATTGGTCGGTCGGAAACAGCAGCTGCTTTGCAGACCCTGTGTGGGACGGAGGAAGCTCTTCTGCAGGGGGAATCCCCAAAACAGGTACATGTCCGGGCCAGCAACCTCACATGCACATGCAGTAGGGCTGCTTGGCTGCAGTGGATTAACAACATTAATGACTCTTAAGATTTATGGACTTAATATTACATATAAATTAATTTAAAAAGATTAGGAAGGAATGAAAGTCATAGTTTAAATTAATGTTGAATGTTGTGAATAGAAATACATAGAAGTGCATGGCAGCAACATGTAAATCTACCTTTACTTACATCTACTTTCCATGGAATGAGGCTAAAAATAGCCACTTTAGAGGAAAAAATAAATCTGACAGAAATAAATAACAAGGCCAGCAAGTGTGTAAACAGAACAGTTGGGCAGGCACACTGCACACACACAGTTATTCTCAGATGTGAGGATGAAACACAGCAGTGCAGAGAGTCAAATTGAAATGCATTGTGTTTAGTTAAAGAGGAGCTCTACCCGTTTTCACAATTCCTGCATAATTCTGCGTAAGTTGTAAACAAAGTCATTTAGGGTGTTTTGATGTGAAATGGCGATTTGTAGAAAAGTCTCTCGACTCAGATTTCTTAATAGTGGTGATAATAAGAACCAGGTATCTCAATGTCTACACAAATATAGCCATTTTATTTACTGTTCAGAATGACCATTAAACCTACACGTCTTCTGAGTTTTTATAAATGAAACTGATAACATGAAAATAGTGGTAAATCTGAAAAAAGTTTTCTTTAAGGACTAGTTTGCCTCATAACAACTTTTCCACAAGGAGTGTATTTTGAAAAAAAAAGTTTTAGGCCAAAACCTATTAAATCAAAATAATATCTCAGGCATTAGACAGGTGTATTCATAGCTCTCTGATGTAATGTCTTTCTTTGAGGGAGCTTTTAGAGGCATTAAACTCTTCAGACATCTAGTTCCTGTCACCATCACAGTGAACAATTCTGACTGGGTAAGTTTGTCTAGAATGGAGCATTTCACATCAAACCACTCTGAATGACTAAATCGTAATGTCCCAATTATGTAGAAATGGAAAATCTGTGGAATGTCCCTTTATCAGTACTTTAAGGACATTGAATAAAGTGCATGTTTAATTATAAAGTGAGCATAATTAGTCTTGTTTAATTGGATTTAGTGCAGTGTAGTATGTGGAATATAGAATAAAAATATGGGATATTATTAACACACACACGAAACATTTACACAAAAATAAAAATACAGGGTACTGTATGGCAAACGAATCCCTAAAGAAAATGTATTTTTTTCAGATTTACCACTATTTTTACCATCAACATTATATATAAAAACTGTGTAGGTGTAGGCTGAGTACACACACAAACACAAACACACACACACACACACAGGCAGGAAAGACCCTGGACATGTAGGCTAAGAGTAAATAAATAATAAATAGATAGTAAATAAAATAGCTATGTTTGTATTGTAGACATTGTGAGTCCTGGTTCCTTTCACCACCACTGTAAAGAAATCTGAGCTGGTTTGTGGTTGTAGTTTCTCTACAATTTACCATTTAACAACCAAACGCTCTGAATGACTTTGTTTATGTCTCAGGCCATTGAAGTATGTATAAGAGTTGAAAAATCAGTGGAATTACCCTTTAACAATCATCAGAAAAACAATATTTCATGATATATTGACATATTGTCATTGTCATTGTATGACATATTGTCTTCCTCTACTGTGTTGTATGCTCACTTTGCACAGATATAATGTGGTCTTTGTGATGCAAGGATAATGAGGCCAGTGCTGAGTAATAGGCTTTACTAAGATAAACACATGCATGTACACAAATGTGATGATCTAAGTGTGTCGGCATTCGGTCGCCTAAGCCGTATTGTATTTAATACTTCTTCACTATGAGTCATTCAGGCCGTGAAAGGTGATTATCCTTAGCTGTGCACTTGTTCAACACAAATA